TTATAATATGCTCGCATGTTGTCTGTGCGTGACAGACAGAAAATCTTTTTTGATATAGCTTGGTTTAAAATTAATCAGGCCCAAACTCGTCATTGATTCTATAATTTTTTTTTTTTAACTAGTGGTTTTAATTCGGGCCAACATCTGAGATATTGCATCAAGAACTTGTTTATTTTGGTTCAACTACTTCCTTTTTAATAAACATTCCAGTTTTCGGGTAATTTTTTTACCTGAATTGTTACTGAATTCGTAAACGTGAGACGACGTGTGCGACAATGCTGATAAGTTCCTAAGGACGAGATTTGCAAAAGACAAAAGAAAAGAAATGAAAATAAAACGGGAGAGTCAGGGAAGCGAGGGTGTGCAGATCGAGTAGTGAATAACCAATGTGTGCTTTGCCGACGATCCAATTTTGGGAACCTGGGTCACTTTCAACGACTCATTGTGCAGACGATGACCTTTAGCCGAACAGAAAGCAAATCGTAATGAAAGAAAAACAAAAAAGTGACGACAAATCTGAACACGACAAATGGTAGCGAATTGACCGAAATTAGAGATGACCTTAACAAGTTGCTTTAAATATCCAGATGAAAAAAGGCACGCACGCACCACCCATGCACGCACCACACACACACGCACGCACCACCCACGCACGCAACACACACACACACGCACGCAACACACACACACGCACGCAACACACACACGCACGCAACACACACAAACAAACGCACGCACCACACGCACACGCACGCACCACACACGCACGCACGCACCACACACGCACGCAACACACACACACAAACGCACGCACCACACACGCACGCACCACACACACACGCACGCAACACACACACGCAACACACACACGCAACACGCACACGCACGCAACACACACACACACGCAACACGCACACGCACGCTCCACACATACACGCACGCTCCACACACACACGCACGGACCACACACACACACACGCAGCACACACGCACGCAACACACACGCATCACACACACACACACGCACCACACACACACGCACGCACGCACCACACACACGCACCACACACACACGCACCACACACTCACACACACACACACTCATGCACACACACACACACATATATATATGTGTGTGTGTGTGTGTGTGTGCAGGGCAGCAATTCCTCTTTTGTTCAAGTTTTATTAAAAACGATTGGCAAGTTTTTTTATTTAATTTTTCTTATGTTCATATTTTCTTCTTTTCATGATATCCGTTCTGTGTATGACGATAAACTACACCGCGTCCTGGGCAAGACGATAAACTACGTCCAACAGCACTGCCTCTGATCAGGTGGTTTTGACGGCGGAGAACCACCTCTTAATTGCTAATGTTCCCAGTCCATCCTGTTTGTGTCCCAGCCATGGGCAAATAGTTAATCTCAAAACTGGGGTCAAAATGCTATGAAAGTGTAAAAATTGTTTTAATATCAGCAATAAATTTTTCGAAGAAAAATTATATTACCAGCATTACATTTTTTGAAGGAATAAAATATTACCAGTAATAAAAAATCTTGTCGACATTAAATAACTTCTTGAAGTTGATATGCCGTAAAACAAATCAAACCAAACCAATATATATATATATATATATATATATATATATATATATATATATATATATATATATATATTTTATTTTTATTTTTTTTAAATAATATTATATATATATATATATATATATATATATATATATATATATATTTAAAAAAAACAAAATAAATAATATTTATAACATAAATACAAAAATAGCCATCTCAAGGGTGTTGAAACCAAATGGCTATTTTTGTTGTGATTTTATAACATATTTATGTTATAAATATTTTTTTAAATTTGTATTGAGCACTCTTTTAAGAATAGTAATTGTTGGTTATTGGAATTCATTCCGTATACACCAATTATATACTTGAGTATATATATATATATATATATATATATATATATATAGCGAGAGAGACAGAGAGAGAGAGAGAGAGATAAAAATAACCAGCCATTAAAATCTTGTCGGCATTAAATAACCCATTGAGATTGATATGCCGTAAAACAAACCAAAACAATCTTTTCAGGATATAAATTATATAGAATAGAAGTCCAAATGTCCTGTATGTCCGTACGCTTTTTCGGCTATATATATATATATATATATATATATATATGTGTGTGTGTGTGTGTGTGTGTGTGTGTGTGTGTGTGTGTGTGTGTGTGTGTGTGTGTGTGTGTTCTTCCAGTCAAAATGAATATATACATGAGGCGTTACAGCTTTACCACGCAAAAAAAAAATGACTAAAATATCTCATTCGAACGTTTCGCGCGAACTGAATGCAGTTACACAACGGGCCACAACGGGGGTTATCACTAGTGCCAATTTGAGATGTGCCAGAGCTCTGAATTGACCCATCCCTTTGCTATAACTTTTTCTCTGCTGTTCGAAACCACATTTTCAACGCGAAAAGAAAAAGCTTGTATAAGTTTTATATTCTTGTAATGTTTCGCGAAACAAAAACAAACAGCCAACAAAAAAAATGTATCCAAATGCATTCGAGATTTTAAAGGTGCCACATATCACTTGAAGACCAACCACGACCAGGCCAACATTCGTAAAACTCAAATGGCTAAAATCTTGATCACGTTCACGACGCAAACAATGTAGATAATCATTTGATGACTGATGGGATTTCTGAGATGATTGGGGTCCATGCCTGCTTATATTAGCCGAAAATTTAGAAATAAAAATCGTTTCTACAAAAATAGTTCACTTGGCCATTTTCTAATGGCCGACACTATCTTTCTGAAATTGTTACAGAGAATGTCATAGCTCTTATTTTAGTGTACCGCCCCAATCTCTCTCTCTTTCTCTCTCTTACACACACACACACACACACACACGCACACACACACACATACACACACACATATATATATATATATATATATATATATATATATATATATATATACATGGACTCTCCTCGTCGGTTTCGACGTATGAGGATCTGACAGCTTAGTTGATTCGGTTATGAAATTTTGTGCAATAATCTTAAGTAACAGTTAACACCCGCTAGTCATTTACAAAGGAGGCCGCATATGGAGCAAGACTAAGGATTGTGGGATGAGATCACTGTTAGATTGGCTGACCTTTTAGACCTTGCTCTCGCTTCTTGAAGATGATTCAGGCAAGCAGAGTGAAAACTGCTGAGTCCACTAAAACATGTTGATCTCCATTCTACCCGCTCCAAGGCTAAGCGCTCAAGGGTGTTATTTGGTATATTGACAACTGACAAGCTGCTTTTCGGCTTATCTTTGTATCCAAGGGCGTCCTACATTCCTGTAGCAGCTGGTATAACTGGCTGTACATTAGGATCTTGGATATCCTGTCATTAGACATTCTCAAGACATTACCAGTCCACCGTAACTGAGACTGTATGAGAAAAGTCTCGATTCCTCCAATATTACACTTAAAATAAATAAAATAAATTACCAAAACTCCACAACATGTGTACAATAGATAGCCTTTAAATGTTAGCGCTTGTCATTAGTAGTTTTTCCTTTATCTAGCAACTTCTCAAGTCCGTAAATTTTTCCACAGCATACCTAGTTACCTCCCCTTAAACGGTGTCCGTCAACCAAGCCATTTCACAGTGTTCCTGACCCCACATATAAAAATGGTAATTTTCGGATGACCCCAACAATTTTTGTCCTTCCCAATCATGAACACTAAATACTTACTCTATAATCAACAATACTCTGATGATTACATTATGCTATGTCGAAAGTACTCGGAAATCAATACAATAAGATCCAACACGAGCTTATTCGCGAATATGAAAGGATCCTATCGAGAATAAGTAAACAGAACATGTCTAGGCTATTTAACGAAACTTGCCTTCATATATATATATATATATATATATATATATATATATATATATATATATATATATATATATAGTGTATTGGGCCTGCAAATCATTATTTAAACATATTGTTAAATATAATAGACAATGAATGTCTGTTATCTTTCATCATGAGCCGTCCTAAATTCCGTATGTTTGCTTTAATTTCGGGTGAAAATAAAGACAAATTTTCCAACATTTGAGCATTTTTTTTAAGCTGTTCCTTGATCTAACCTTTCGCTTTAGATGAGTCATCTTCAGAGTGGCTATGCGGACATTTAAACAAAGATATTCACCATTTTTACCCGAAATTAAAGCCAATATATAGAACGGTTCACGATAAAAAAAATAATCGACTTCCATTCTTTGTTATTTTTAATAATATTTATAGTCTGTTATATTTAATAATATATGTTTAAATATATACATGCATATATATATAAATATATATATGTGTGTGTGTGAGTGTGTGTGTGTGTGTGTGTGTGTGTGTGTGTGTGTGTGTGTGAAGAAATATAGTTTTAAGGTGTGCTATATTTATGAGAAATATAGTTTAAATAGTGCTATATTTATGGGATAAAGTGCTCAATATCAGAGATAGAGCGTATATAAATATAATTATAAAAGTGAACATTGAAGTCAACACCCAGAGGCGACTTCAATGTACACTTTTGTGTATATATATATATATATATATATAACTTTAAACATCATATTTTTTAAACTATTAATTTATATCTACCCACGTGTGCATTTCGGAATCGTAATAAAGTAAACATGCTTATTGGCAGAATCCGAATGTTATAAGAGAAACTACCGTTAAGCCCAACGTGCTTTAAAATATAGGAATGTCTACTAAAATACGTGTCTCTACCAAATATAACGTTTATACTGAACAGAAACTCTGTCGGATTATAAATAAAATCAATTCCTTAGAAATTACGCACACGCGCGCACATACATATATGTATACATTTACACACACACCGACATACATATATATATATATGTACATAAATATACAACATAAATCGATATTATCGATTATATATAATAACAACAGTAAAGTTATAAGAAGTTAATGCGTTTAGAGACGTGTAGGTGAAGAGAGAGATAGAGATCGCTATATTGACAGATATAAACCGATTGACATATATATGAACTAAGATATGAACAGAATAAGACAGATATGAACAAATTTATATAGACATGGATAGATAAATAGATAGATATGAACAGACTAAGATAGATAGATAGATAGATAGATAGATAGATACGAACAGAGTGAGATAGATAGATAGATAGATAGATAGATAGATAGATAGATAGATATGTACAGATTAAAATAGGTAGATATAAACAGACTAAGATAGATAGATAGATAGATAGATAGATAGATAGATAATGAACAGGCTGAGATAGATAGATAGATAGATAGATATGTCTGGGTATCTGTTATATGTTTTTTTGTAAATAGAGTTCAAATCTGTGTTGTGCCAAATATTTAAACTCATTATGGTATGTGTCTTTCTTTTTATATACTATAAACCCTAATAAAGTGTTTTAAAAAAAAACGGTTAAATTTAACGAGTTTCCATAAAAAATCCCTCATCGATATTTTCGATTAACTCTTTAAATATTCGAGATGAACAGTAATTGAATATATAATGTCCCATGTTGCTGTTCACTTGGCAATAAGAAAGTGTAGGGCGACTGCAACGAGTCTCCCTGCAGGCAGCTCGAGCTATTTTTTATTTGCTAGCCTTCGATCCTCCCCCCTCTTTCTATCTCGTTTATCTCCTATTCTGTTTTAATCCTTCTTTTGAATTCTTTCTCTCTCTTTCTCTCTCTCTCTCTCTCTTTATATGTATGTGTGTCCTTTTCTTTCTAATTCGACTCATCTTATCTCTACATCTCTCTCTCTCTCTCTCTCTTTCTCCCCCTAATTATTCTGTCCCTCTTTCTGTCCTGTCCTCTCTCATAATAATCTCCTAAACTACATAGAATGATTTATCGATTTTTTCAGTCAGATCGACAAGTTTAGACATGCGCTTTCGTCGTCAAGTTAATGTCTTATCTGATTTCGATTAGCAAAAGGCTGAAACCTCTAGGTTTATATACATAGATTCGGAAAACTAAGTCTTTGCAGGAGAAAAGACCATGATCTTTTTCTTCACTTTAAGAGTAGGTTGGCTAACTCTAACACAGCAACCTACTCATATTCAATTCAAGTATTAGATCTATATATGATCTATAAACTCTATATGCTCGGCCTAATCATATCTTGGATTAAAATATAATTAATAACTACTTGATGCTATTTTTTTAAAAGTATCATTAAAGATAATATAAGAAACAACAGCGAAAGATGCCTTCCATAAGCTGAGCAATGTATTAAGAAACAGAAAAATATCTTTAAAAACAAAGAACTGTTAAGTAATATATTTCCTCTTAAATGGTAGTGAATGCTGGACAATTTCCTCGCAGATGAAAGCGAGACAAAATGCAACAGAAACAAAGAAAATTGTGCTGAACTGCGATTGAATACCAATCCTCCTATATGGCAGGGAATGATGGATAAGAGATTTGAAGCAACTGAAGTCTGCTTCTACAGAAGAATGGCGAGAATACCATGGATCAGACATGTGAGCAACGACGAAGTTCTAGAGACGATAGCAACAAAAAAGACACTTCTACTTAACATCAGAAAGAGGCATTTTGGGGACAGATAATGAGGAAAGAGGACCTGGAAAATTTGATACTCACTGGGCAGATTGATGGCAAGAGGGACAAAGGAAAACGTCGAACAAACTACATGGCAATCTTAAATGAATGGATAGCGTATCAGGGTTTGGGAGAGTTGGTAAAAAGACAACCGTTATTAATGAACGACAGGAAATTGTGGACAGCCATGACCGGCATCCTCCTGAAGAGACACATCATACAGAAGAAGAAGAAGGAGAATATACATTGATGAATCAAGTCACATAGGGATTAGCTGGCGACGTTACAGCAGTACAAATTACGATGTGTCCAAACAGACTTTGAACAAAATGAATGCAGTATAACATCTTCCATCAATGATGTGCAGTGTGGTGTATTCAATAACGATTCAGCCTGAGAAATTGGAGAGTTCGAATACCAGTCGTTATATTTACTTACATACAAATACTCTTGGGAAAGGTATAGATCCATTTATTCTCCCTCCCGAGCAATGGGTTGAATTGCATGACAGACTGGGTCCTATAGCCTTGTTTGGTAACCACAGACGGAAACGGCAGTCAACTGTCTAAAATCTGCCTAGTCAGTCATGAATCGAAAGAGATATGATTCGACCAAGCATATAGAGTTTATAGATCATATGTAGATCCAATATTGGATCTATATATGATCTATAAACTCTATATACTTGGCCGAATCATGCGCGCGCGCGTGTGTGTGTGTGTGTGTGTGTGCAGATATGTAGAAAAATGGGAAAGAACACGTTAGTTAAATAATCCGAAATTGTTTAGTATTTTTGTTTTTATTTAAAAAAAAAAAACAGTGCTCCATACAGAAGTACAGCTTAAATTATATTTTTTTTTATTTTCTATTTTTTAAATCATATTTTTTTTAGATAATTATTATATATATATATGTGTGTGTGTGTGTGTGTGTGTGTGTGTGTGTGTGTGTGTGTGTGTGTGTGTGTGTAAAGGTGACAAATCCGTTTTAATTTAATCCAAGTGAATCCTAGTCATATAAAATATTAAAAACTGATCTACAAAAAGATATTAGTGTATGTATTATTACAGAGGAAATAATTTGTAGTGCACAATAAAATTCAAAATTACCTCAACGGCAGACGAACATATATATATATATATATATATATATATATATATATATATATATATATATATATATATATGTGTGTGTGTGTGTGTATTTAATTTATTTTGTTTAAACGTTTTTCTAACTAATAATATAATATATAAAGCAACTGTGCATCTAATAAAATAAACACAGAAGAAAAAATTTATAGAGGAGCAACTGAGACAAATTTTAGAGAAAAAATGAATAATCACAAAATGCTATTTAAATTAGACAGATACGCAAATAACGCAATATTATCAAAATATATATGGAATCAGAAAGAAAAAATATATCAACTAAAATTAAATGGGAAACAATAAAAAAAAGAATAGAAAACTGGAACCAGCAAAAATGTTGTTCTGCAGAAGGATACTGAGGATAATAGCACTGGTCTGAAAGAAAATGGCAACAGAAAGAACACTTAAGTTCAGAGTCAGTTTAAATTCCTTAAAGACATAATGAGGAATGAGAACTCGGAAAACTCACAAATTATACTGGGGGTAAGAGAGATCGAGGAAGCTATCTAAAAAGATTGTGTCAATGGGGGGAGAGTGACTGTAGAAAAACTACTAAGGACAACAAGGCGTAGCAAGTTAATTCGAATCCATTACATTCACTTACGTGCTAATACCCTTGAGAAAGGTCTGAATCCTCTTCTTTTCTCCCCATCTATGGGTAAATAGCAGGACAGAACGGGTTCTATAGTCTTATATGGCAACTGGCCTACCGTAGAGAGAAATGGCAACATATTGCGGAAAAAAAATCTGCCTCGTCAGTCATGTATCGATAGGTACATGATCGCCTAAGCGTGTATCACGCATGGCACACAACTGACTGAAATTCACTTATGGACTATTACCCTTGGAAAAGGTATGAATCCTCTTATTTTCCTCCCCCCATCTATGGGTAAATTGCAGGACAGACCGGGTTCTATAGTCTTGGATGGCAACTAGCCTACCGCAGAAAGAAATGGGAACCTACTGTGGGAAAATAATCTGCCTCGTCAGTCATGTATCGATAGGTACATGATCGCCTAAGCGTGTATCACGCATGGCACATAACTGACTGACATGATCGTGCTCAAGGAGTGCGGGGCAAACAAGAAGAAGAAGAAGAAGAAGAAGAAGAAGAAGAAGAAGGTGCAAAAAACTTGCTTAACATAAATAGTAAATGGGATTAGAAGGTTCCGGTTCTTTTTTAATAGTCTGAGAGAAGATATCATCCATTATATTGAAGGTGCATAATGTTTCATTTTATGATTTTATTCATTATCATAACAAAGACTGTACTAATAAAATTCGCTTTTACACAAGTATTTTCCCAGTCAGGTGTGTATTACGAGCAAAAGTAACTTCCCGGCTTAAAGTACCTGAATTTCCCAAATAAAAAAATTATTTTCACCTGACTTATTTTGGACAACTTCTGCTTTTGCGATTGTTTTAAAATCGAATTCAACCTCTGCAAGGCAGTAAAGCCACTAAGACGCAAGGGGTTACTCGGTGTGAAAGAATTCTAAAGCAGAAACATTATTAAGGGGAGAGCGAACAATAAAAGAGTAATCAGGAAGACTCTAGATAACGATTGACAATGCATTTAAACTTTTGAATATCAAAGTTGACTGGAAAGTATGCAGCCATAAGGGACCTCCACAGGTGATAAGTGCGAGAAAAAACTCTTTAGAATACAACTGACGGTTGCATCAAATCAATTCAACTCTAAATTAATGAAACATTGTTGTTAATCTAACACTGCGTCTAAATTCATAAAATCTAGGTACAATAATGCAGACCCCATCCGAACATTTACCATGAAAGTATTTATAGAAAAAGCACAAGGATGCAACATTACGGCGGTGGAAAAACAACTGAAGCCGAGTTGCCATGTCAGGACCAATAATTTTCCTGATATTTTGGATTTTATCAAGAATCTCTAAATAGATAGCAAGAGCACCGGACCATATATGGCAGCAATATTCAAAGCAAGGATGAATGTTAGACATAAATATATAAGAGAGCACGGTACAGTGTATCAACTTTCTTAGCAGCTGACCTTAGCTAAAATGTACAATCATTATTTGAGTACATATACTCAGAATGAACTGATCAGTTTTATTTCAAAAATGATTTTCTCAAGAAATCTTTCCAATTTAAAATTTGCAAAATATTATTCTGTAATATTGGATTGCGCCATTTTGAAAAAAAAATGTCTGTAATTTTTCAGATATGTTCATTGTAAGCTTGATGAAGCTGTAAAGATACGTGAAATTTTCTCCACTTTTTTCACTGTAGATGATACAACTAGAAAGGGATTGTTTGAAACTTTTTAAAATGATGTTATTAAAAGGTTAGACATTGATTTAAGCTATCATGGTCAATTGTCTCAATATGGCAGGCAAGTACAAATGTGTTCCGTCAAGATTACTTGACATAAATAAAAAGGTTCATTATAGTCATTCCACTTTATGTCAGTCGAGAATGTAAACCCGAGATGGCGCAATGAGTCACTCTCATGGGGGTTAGCATCAGCCATACTAATGGAAGACAGAAATGGCACTCTCAGATGATTAATAGATGGCAGTTTGGTTTTGGAGGCATTAA